TTTAAATAAATGAGTTGTAGCAACAATTTTACACACACACACACACAGAGAGAGAGAGAGAGAGAGAGAGAGAGAGAGGCACAGAGAGAGAGAGGAGGTGGGTGGGAGGGAAGGAGGGAGAAAGGGGAAAGTATATTCCTTAGAGAATGGAAATGGGACACCAAGAATCTTCACATCACCTATTCCTATTCTTTAATCCCTTCAAACAAGAATTGCTTTCTAAACATTTAACCATTTTGGTAATTCTCCTCTAAACTTGTTTCATTTTGTCCATCCTTTTTTGATGGTGTGGAATCCATAACTGGACACAGAATTCCAAAAAGTCTCATCAAGGAATAATAGAGTATAATACTTAGTTGGATTACTTCATATTTCTCCTTGCTAATTTCCATCTGATTCATTTTGAGCCCACTGCTCAGTCCTTTTTTTTTTTGTTGTTGTTGTTTTTTGTTTGCAGTTTTATTGTGAAGTCTGGGATGGTTAATTTGATCTGCCATATTTCTTTCTTAAAAAAAAAAACATTTTTATTTTTTTAGACAAACATGTACAAACAAAACATAAAAAACATAAAACCATCTTCCATTTTATACAGTGTGTCAGTTGGTTACAAATCTTTTGTGCTATCCTTTCGTAGTCATCACTCACAATTTATATAAATTCTCACATTGTCAATCTAACATATGCTTATATATTTATTAGTTATTAATCATTCATGACTAAACTATTTATTCCATCATTTATACGAGATATTCTAGATTTTATTATAAAATTTGTATTATACTTTCATCCAATTGTTTTATATATATGTATGTATGTATGTATGTATGTATGTATGTATGTATGCATGCATGTATGGCATTCAGCTTTGTTTGGGTATTTTCCCACGTCATTGTAGTTGTGCTTTTAAAGTTGTAGCAACGTTTCGGCAGAATCTCATCTGCCATCATCAGGCTTCTGTATAGAGTACCCACGAAAACTTAAGAACACACACACACACACACACACACACACACACACACATATTATTTTATATCTATCCATTAAAATTCTATTACAAGATTTCCTAGTCTATTACATTACCATGTCTTTTCAGCCAACCATTGATAAAACAAATCCCATATCATGTAAAATTATTTATCTTCTTGTTCTCTGATTTCAAATGTCAATTTACTCATTTCAGCACAGTCCATAATTTTCTTAATAACTTCCTCCTGCATAGGTATTTTGTCATTTTTCCAATTCTTAGCAAATACAATCCTAGCCACTGTCAAAACATTTACAATCAAATATTTCAATTATTTATTGTACATTTCTGGTATAATTCCCAATAAAAATATATCTGGCTTAAAGTCTATATGTTGTTTTATCATTTTTTCCAACCATGTGTGGATTTTAGTCCAATAACTTTTTGCATCCAAGCACATCCACCACATATGGTAATACGAACCCGGTATCTGATGACATTTCTAACATTTATTCAATTTATCCTTAAACATTCTCGCAATTCTTGTCGGGGGTAAGTGCCACCTGTAAAACATCTTATAAAAATTTTCTTTGTAAACAGTTGGCATTGTCATTTTAAAATTTTGAGATCATAATTTTTGCCATTTCTCTAAATCAATCCCATATTCAAAATTTCCCCCCAAGCAATCATCGTTTCTTTCATTTGTTCCTCCTCCAATTTAAATTCTAGTAAATGCCCATAAAGTTTTTTAATTACATTTTCACCAGTACCTATCAAGATTTTATCTCAATCAATCAACTTATAATAAATACCTTCTAATTTAATATCTTTATCAAATCTAGATTGTATTTCCAAATATAAAAACCAATTCATTTTTATACCTTGTTCTTCCAACGCTTGCATAGATTTAAGTTCACCTTTTCATTCAATATCTCACCATATCTGACTGTTTGTTCCTTTTTATATATTATCGGATAGGAAAAAGCTTCAATGGTAGATATCCACAATGGAATCTTTAAATAATATTGCTTTTTTATCTTCTCCCAATTTAAAAACAATGCCTCTCGAATAGAATGTCTTCTAAAATACTCCTGTGTTTTAGTTCCCTTATACCAGGGGAAAGCATGCCATCCCAACAGCAGGTCATGTCCTTCTAAAGTCAATAATCTACTGTTCCTTAATGTTATCCATTCCTTTACCCACATCAGATTTGTCACCTGATAATATAATTCCCAGTTCGGCAAAGAGAACCCTCCCCTTATTCTTGCATCTTATAGCAGTTTAAGTTTTATTGTCGCTTTCTTGCCCTGCCAGATGTATTTCAACACAATTTTATTTAAGTCTTCAAAAAACTCTTTCCCTAATCTAATTGGAATTGTCTGGAATAAGTATAACATTCTAGGCAATACGTTCACCATAATTGTAGATATTCTCCCAATCAATGATAATTGTAAATTTTCCCATTTTGCCAAGTCTGTCGCAATCTGTTGTTTGAGTTTAAGATAGTTATCCTCCTTCAATGTACTACATCAGTCCTTTTTTAAGCTTTTCTTTTTCATCTAAAGTATTAGCCAATCCTCCCAGCATTGTGTCATCTGAAAACTTAAGACATGTCTCCTCACCTCCCTCAACCAAGTTATTGGTTGTTAAATTGTTAAATGCCATTTTAAATCTCAAGAGGAAAGGCTAGTTGTCAGCAGGTTTTAATAATCTTAGTAACCTCAGTATCACATCCTCTATAGGGATACTTGAAAGACAGCATCTCTCCATAGCAGCATGTTGAATCTACAGATAGCAGTCTTAGTTCCCCTTAACAAGAAATCACCCATTTCTATAATGACCTGTCTCTTCTTACTTAGGAGAACTCTTGGATTTCTTAAATCCAAGGGAGCTCAAATATCTTCTGCAGTGTTTGTAGCATGGTTTGCTCAGGGGACACTCAATTGTCCTCTAGAGGAAGAACTTCTGAGTTCTTATGGTATTCATTGAGGACCTCCTAAACCTTTGGCATCTTTAGGTCACATTCTTCCATGTTTACACCAAATGTTGTTTTTCCCTTGCACTTTGGTTTCTCTTCGCTTCACTGCTCTTCTGGACAATTTCAGGTGTCTTTCCCAAGAGTGTCTTATCTTCCCAATTCATTTCAAAATAGCAACTTTTTCTTTAACCCACTTCACTTTTCCCTCCAATAAGGAAATAAACTTGCAAATATAGTAGGTGTCAGTTGAGTCTTCTTCAGACAAAAAAGATAAATACTGCACAACCTCTGTAGGTCACAGTGATACGTCTCTGCTGTTTATGTTGCTTTCTTGCCAAATCTCCTAGATTGAACTCCAACACAAATGGAGAAATGGAGAGAAAGAAAAGGAGAGAAAGGTTCTTCCTTTTTATTTCCCCCATTTTACTAGACGTGTATACTTGCTCAGAAATTATCCATATTTAGATTAATGGAATTTGCTCTTAGCAAGATTTCTGTATTGCAATCTGCATATTTAGACATTCTCATAGTTCTAATATAACTCCTTTCTTGGTAAATGAGCTTTCTTCTTTGACTGATTCAACCTGTTTTTCAAGTATATTTCAGGATGTTAGACAGCTTGACAAATGAAAGGTGAATCTTTCATTTTTATAATCAAGATAAGAATTCTTAAAAATTGATAGCTTACACCACAATGGAAAATACCCTTAAATTGTTGGCATAATTGAATTTTTAAAGAATAATTGCACACAATTATAATCTCCCTGCTGTCAGATTTATTTTAGTTATTCACTGCATTGTCTTAGAAATACAGGCATGAATCTTCATTATTAGCTTTAAAGCATCCTTACTTCAAGTGATGTTTAGCTCCTAGGCAGCTGGCAAACTTACAGAGGCTGCTGCTCAGGTTGATTCAAGAATTTTTAAAAGTTATTTCATTAGGGTTTCATGGGGGGAAAAAATCTATTCTTTTGCTGCTTGGATCTCCTATTCATCTTGTCCTTTCTTTTTTCTTTCTTTTTTTCCCTATCCCACATTGAAAATCCTGCTAGTTTCTGGATCAAAAAAGATACTTTTTCTTTTTTCTAAAAATCATAAAGCAAATTTTTTTTCAAACATATTCATAATAAAATTGTGCAATGTAAATTTATCACCATCCTCAATAAATGTTTGCTCATTTCTTTTTTAAGAGCCCAGGATTACAAAATTTACAGATGTGATGGCAAGCAACTCTCATTAGTACCTCAGAAATCACATGGTACCACTTCCAAAGGGAATATTATTATGGTCTACAGCGCAGACACAATTATTTGTAACTTTAGTTCTATCTAAATTTCTTCCATACTGGGGAAAGAATCAATGGAAAGGTAAACCAGTTCAGGTTTCCCAACCCAATGCCTTTCAGATGAATCAATGTCATGTTCTATAGTTTCAAAGATACAGTGACTGGAAATCATTAATGGTAAAAGCGAAAAGAGGCCATTGAGAAGCTCCCAACGAGTCAAATTACACATATTTAGAATATAATATAATTCAAAACAGCATAACCATCTTTAATATAAAAAAATGTGCCTTTGAATTCACAAATGTATATTTTACAATATTATTAGAAAAAGAAAACAAGAATAGAGAAAATGAAATAACTTGGGGTTTATTTTTAAACTTCTGATATTAAGATGAAGGCAAATTGATTTCAGTAGCAGACCAAGTCAGAAATGATAGCATCATAAGCTTCTTCCAGGCATCTGTGGTGACTCTGTGGTGGCTGATCCATATAGAGCTATCAAAACATACTTATGTTGATTATACTGCCACTATTGATGTAAATGTTATCTGACATTATCTGTCCACTAATTGGAATTCCCTAAAACAGTCATTATGAAACAATTCATTTAAAGTTTCTGTTCATGTTTTCCAACAGAACACCTTACCATCTACTTTTGAAGCAAAATTATTCCATTAACTGTTCTTGATAGTAAGCATCTAAATCAAATCCTGATCTCAAATATATAGATAGGCGCTCTCAAACCATAAAATATAAGATGAAGATGATGATGATGATGATGATCTGAGTGTTTCCAAGAACTTAACAAAAAAGACCAAGTAGTAAGTTTCCAGTAAAATTCATAATGCTCATTCTACATAAATATACATTATAAAAAAATGTCCAATAATTTTTTGAAAGTCTGAAAAATTAAAACCACCTACAACAAAAGATTATCTGAGATTATCTCAGTCATAGTAATATCCTTAGCGGATATTATTATTATCCATATTGCAATATTGTATGGTATTCTGTTGAAATATTACATCCTAAAGTTAATAAATCAGACTTTTTCCCAACTTAAACCTACTAACTGGATATTTTCCAATTATTGAACCATTCATATCATGTTAGGCAATAAAGCAGAATAATTACCCAAAGTTGCCCCCAAAAATCAGTGCATAAAAATTATACTCAGATCCCACTAATGTAATATCACTATTTTTTTCTAGATTGACTAATACTAATTTCTAACGGCCGAAGATTTAATTTAAAAAAGCATCAAAGAAAGAGCTACTTTACCTAGGTATGTACATATATAGCTTAATACCTATAATCTTATTGTTTTCATTGTCTTATTTTTGGATAAGTGCTTGTAGTCTTGAATGTTTTAATAATTTCATGGAAGTTTTCTTAATTGTTCTTTTTGTATCCTGTTCCAAGAACCTTGGGAGGAATAGAAGTAAACAATTATACTACTAAAACTTCTACTGCTTCTAGTATTGCAATTACTGCCAAAATATTTATTTTCTTTGAACATGAATTTAAAGGTCTAAAACTAGCAGTGCATATTGATATCCCACATTCTCATAAGCCATCTACATTAGAATCTCATTATTTATATGAAAACATTATAATAAAATACTGCTTGGTAAGTTTGAACATCATTGCAAATAACTATGTTCTAAAGATTAATTTAATAAGAAGAGAGTGTTTAGACCATCATGTTCAGTTCCCTGTTCAGTGCAGGAATCTTAATTGAAGTATCCTCTTAAATGGATCTCTGTTTGGACATCCAATGAATGGGACCCTCAATAGGAAACTTTTGCTAATGTTCAACCAGAATCTATTTTCTACTAACTCAAGGCCACTATTCTATTTTCAGCCCATGTTCAGTGGGGCATAGATCCGGTCTTCTTCTATGAAGAGGTAGAAGGCACACTGTGAAGTGGGTTTGTTCATTTCTGTATGTCTCAATGTATGAAACACAATTCTTACTTAGTTCTTCATTCTGCACTGATAGGAGAATCCACAGAGCCATAAAAGAAATAAGTGCACTTTAAGGCAATGTTTCTCTTAAAACTTCAAGCTTTATAATGTGGGGCAAGAGAAAAAGGGAGTTATAATTGTAGTTAGAATATGACAGATGAGTGAAAAACTAAAGATGATCTTCTCCTCATTGGTAAACAATATTCAAGTGAGGGTGCTTATCTCTAGTGCCTGTAATTATTTTAGATAGAAATCTACTATACATGTATACTGTATTTAATTGTATATGTATGTATGCATGCATACATACACACATACATTATTTGAATCTGTAATAATGTTGTAAGTATATGTATGTATGGTTGAAAATAATCCTACTTCTATTTTTTTAAAAAACACAGATGCATAATGCTAACAACAACACAGAGAAAACAAAACTCTGTTTTTAGATCCAGAGACCTCAGATTGAAAAGGCAAACGTTTTCTGCACTGTTGTGAAACTGGCATATAATCCATCATGTGATCACTGGTCCACAACTCTGCAGAGATGTGAACATGACATCTTTCAGGTTGCTTTAGAAAAGGCATCATTCTTGCTTGCCTGCCTCTCTCACATTCTCTTTCTTTCTCTGGAAGGGAGAAAAGAATCAATTTATTTGGTCAGATAAAATTTTTGAACCCTTCTAGCTTTCAGAAAATAAATAATGATGTAAATTTTCACCACTGTGAAATCCTTGGTGATCTCTGATCTTAATGTTTAGTTGCAGGTATTTCATTACTCAACTAGGTAATATCACCAATGCAGTTGAATATGAGTTTGCTGACTGCTTGCCTTGCCAGTTGGTGGGTGTTGTTTTTATTTTGATAATTTCTTGATTAGAGTATTGTTTTCAGATTGATTGTTTTGTCAGGTGATCATTATCCATCTTTTAATGATCCCATAATCCCTTGTGGAGTGGAGTTTGGGCAACTGCATGGGATTAGCCGAGTGTACTAATGGCCAGATGCCCTTGCTGTCGCCAATGTGGAGTTTTGTTCAGCAGATATATTCTCAGGCTGCCTAGAGAAAGAAATATCTGCCTGTATCTAGGATTGAACTCACAGCCTCCTGATTGTAAGGTAAGAGCTCCACCTCTAGGCCACTGCACCACTCCATTGTTTTGTCAGGTGATAAACCTTGATTATTTGGGTTTTGGTAGTTGGAGTGGTAATTGGAGTTTCATTTCTTTTTAGCTTTTTATTGTTTATTTCACCAATGGTGTGAAAATGTGATTTATTTCTATGTGTCTGTTGATGGCTTATTTGTCTGAATGCCAAGGTTCCGGGATTTCCTTAATGTTTTTGAATTTAGCTTAGTCTACAATGCTCACAGTGCCCCCACTTGAAACACTCTGTCCATGTGTTGTGAGATTAAAGACTTTTCAACATGTTTTCTGATAACCGGTAGGTACTCATGGAGGTGATCTGCTAGTCATCTGCTGGCTTGTAACATAGTGGTTGTTACAGACCTTACACTCTATGATAACTACATATTTTCACAAATATGAAATTTCACAAGTGATGCAATTTTCCACAAGTTTGGATTTTCACAAGTTACCCCCTTTTTCCATTTCTATTGGGAGTAAAAGATTGGTTTTCCCTGTATCTTTTCACTATCAATCCTATATTTTCTGTAATAACAGTCTCTTGCCAGACAGCCTTGTAACAATGGCATTTAAAATATTTTTCAAGTAAAGATTCATAATTGTATTTATGAGCAATATTTGTGGAAAGTCAAGGAAAAAGAGAATTCTTTGCTGCTCAGTAATGATAGCAAGAATTAACTGTTTGATTTCTTTTCTGAAACTGAATGTTAAATCAATGAAAATCTGATTTCATTTATGCATGTCAACTTGACCCAGGGGATGAAGAGTTCAAAAGGTAACATGTGTATTATGTTAAGAAAAAATAAACAAAACAGTTAAAAGCTGGTATTTGTATATTACATCTCTTATATCTGTTGGTTAGTGAAATGAAAATAAATAAATAAATATGGTGATTGTAGAAATGACAATAATGTTATTTCATGGTATTAAAGACATCTGGGACTTTTAATGCCATCAAGCAATAGAACCTGCCTATCCCAAATCTTTTGGAAAGACTTAATAGATGGATAAAAATGCAAATCCAGTCTAAATATCTGTCTTACTATGTGACCAGGCTTTTATGTTTATGGTATAAATTGGCAATACCAAATATATTGGACAGCATAAAATCGGCACATTGACAACATTTCTTCAGTTCCACATTACCAAATTGCTGAGATCTACATATATACTACGCCAATAGCTTACAACATCCTAACTTCTTAGGAAGAACTCAATGTGTATGAAGGCCAATACCAGCGAAAGGACTGGCAGCTGTGATTTCACGTTGTATAATAATAATTTTCATATCCATGCTATCTCTGGATCTTAACAATTAATTTAATGGATTTTATAATATATGCAAATTATTGGTTTTATTGTATGCCACTCAGAGTCATCATGTGTGTGACAGGCAGCCATATAAATTTAATAAATTTATAAAATTATGAAATAGTTTTGGCATTGGCATTAAAATGTGTGTATAGTTGTTTTATTGAATTTGATTTACATAGATTACAGTTTCGTGCAGACACTGTAATGAATTATGGGATGTGGATTTTAGTAGGGTGGACTATTTTCTAATTTTTGATTACCAGTAGTTTGTACTACAGCTATGTGATCTATAGAACTAGCAGGTGTTAATTGTGAAAGGGTACAGAAAGTGAAAAAGATGGTACATTTATTTAACTCAGTTGATTTATGGACAGTACCATTGCCAAAATAATAAGCACACTGCAATTTATCTATTTGTATGATAATGATATGATGAAATCAAATTTGCTGAATATAGGATATTGTAGGAAATGAAGAATTTCCATGAATATTATCATACTGTACATAACTTCAAAACTATTGTTTTTATTTGCAGCGTGTCTTAGAAAAGAAATTGTATTTTTATTTCAAGTTTATTGTTATCTGCTTACATGCTGCAAGGTAATTTGCATATATGAGAGTATGATCCTCAGTTCTAACACATTATCTGATGATTCAAATGGAAAATTAGGGACCTATCGTTCCCCAATTGGTCAACATCAGTTAAAAACACCACACAAGATTCTGTAATATGCAAAAATAGAGAAAGAAGAAGCAGGTGTGGGAGGAAACAATTTATGGGAGGTGAGTGTTAAGTGGATTAAACAGTTAACAAAGTATAGCAAATCTTTTATTTTGTCTATTTCTACCACACAGTAGCCATGTTGCTATGCATTCATAATAGATTTCAATGTACCCATCAACCCCACATTTGGGAGGGAGGCATTTCTAGTATCTCAATTTATATTGTATTATGTACACATAATATGTACATAACTGGTAATATGTATCTATCAGAATCTTACATATGGTTTGCTTTCCCTTAATCATGCAGCGAGAAGATACAAATGTGGCATGATGTCATATCCTCATTTACACATGTCTTCCACTATTCCACTCTACTCTTTGGGGACCAGGAATTTTTATTCTGAATCACTGCACACATTGCAGTGCACATATTGCCAAATAAAGGGCACCTTTGTAGTTTCAAGCATGCAGACATATAAACACTAATCATCCTTTTTTATTTTCAACAACATCTAGGGACTATTTATGGCCAATGATAGTTTTGGAGATAAAACTATGCCAGAGGCTTTAGCTAAAGTATGCCAATTTTCCACCCCACTTTCCTTTTTTAAAATTGAAATAAAAATAGGCTCAGGGAGTTTAGTAGCCCAAAAAAATATCCATGAACTTATTGCTACAAGGGTCTGTTACATCACTATTTCAGTCATATCAGTGACAAGAGGATCATATTGGTCACAATCAGGCTATCTCTCTCTCTCTCTCCATCTGTTAGATGGCAGAACATAAAATTGCATATTTTATGAGAATGAAACAAAGTAATGTTTTTAAACTTGCTAAATTATTGGTGGTTAAGATACCATGTTAGAAACTTGAAGATTAGGACTTAGTCTGGCCTTAGGCACTTAGGCAGCTGGCTGACCTTGGACCAGTCTCTCCTTCTCCCTCCCCCTCTCTCCTAGAAAATCAATTGATTGGTTTAGGAAGGAAATACTACTGTATATTAGGACAACTTAAAAATAGAACTATGGGTAGAAAAAACTTAGCACCATATTATGGTCATGGAAAAAGGTGCACTTCATGTTGTAGTCTCTCATTAAACTGTGTTTAGTCTTCTTAGTATTTTATTATAATGTTTCAAAAAAGTCATACTGGATTCCTTTGCTGAAAAAGCAACCTTCTGGATTTTTTTTCCTTTCTAATTCCCTTCTTTTGGACCTTCCCTTTCCAGATGGCACATGTAACTTATGCTTTCACCTTGCATTTTAGCCTTCACTGACCCAACTCTTGGCTTGTATAACTCAAATGAATGTCACTACTTTCTGTATCTAGAGGTGGCAGAAGCATCTTGATTTTCAGACCAGTAGAGCACATGATTGTGAAAGTTACCCTGCTCCTTCTTATCATATATGCATCATGAATAATAATGGTAACATTTCAGGTATCCTTGAATCCTCCCTGAAAGTATAGCATGTTTCCAAGATGCATTTGAATTTGCACCAAACAATTAGAGACATGCTTACATTAGAAAGGTAAGAGAGTTATTAGAAGATTGGTTCAATATATGGGTTTTCAACCTTGGCAATTTTAAGATGTGTGGACAACAACTCTAAGATTTCTGGCTGAGGATTTCTGGCTGAGGATTTCTGGAGTTTAAAGTCTATACATATTAAAATTGACAAAGATGTAAAACATTGGTGTAATAGAAAGGATTGGATAACTTGGATGAATAGGCTCCAAACATGAAGAATTATAAAAAATATCATTTGGGGGAAAAGTAACTGATGGAAACTGCCAACCATAATTTCTTGTTTTGCTTTCCAAGTTAAATATCCTACCTCTTGATTTTTTATCCATCCAATTACTGGATTTATAAATGTCCATTCCTTGTAAAGTTTTCCATTTTAATTGACCATGTTCATTCAAACCGTTTTTGCCCTGCCTACAGAGATGAAGATTATTTTTCACTGACTTTTTAGGGTAAAAAAAACCAACCTTGGCAGATTTTATGAGGCGCAAAATCTGGATTAAATCAAGATATGAAACTCCCTGAGTATGTTTTTTTAAGGTAATATAAATTCTAGACATAGTGGTTGACTGTTGTGAGGCCAGTGTTTAATTCAGAAGATACTGTACATCATCCTAAAAAAAACCTACACAGTGATTCTTTATCATAAATAGAATTGTGTGCTGCAGTTGAAACATAATTAGCATAGTTACTCTCTTTTCCTTTCTTATGATTTGTACGGCAAAAAGGAAACAAGAATATTCTTTCATTTCAATTTAGGCTTGTGAAGATTACACCAAGTCAAACTTTTATTAGCAAAGTTGAAATTTCATGTAGAATGAAAATATTTTTTAAAAAACCATACATATACATAGGCATGATACAAACAGCAACTACATACAAACACATTTTTCTAAGCCATAAGAAATTTTCATGGACATTCATTTCAAAAAGGAATAGCCAGAACCTAGTACTCATGTCCCATATTTTTCTTCTTCTTCCATGAAGTAACATTAAAAAAAATTGCTTTGGCTCTGACCAATTCTGTGCAAAGGCTGAAATTTATCTACGATTACAAAGATGAATACTTGATAGGTTATGAATGGTTCTAACATGTAAACAAGCTATTTAAGATTTGGAAAGGCAGATTAACAGGACAGTGATATGCATGCTTAATAAGGAATAAGTCCCACTTATTCCACAGAATTTGGTAGGCCTGACAATTTTAAATTAAATATTTAATTTGGAAGGAGGGAAGGGTTTGATGTTCTGATTAGCAAACATTGGTTTTTCTGCTAAATCAATAGAAGTTTTATCAGCATAAGAATAGATTTTCCCTGTATTATGTATCTTATTTTTGTCTAATTTAATGAAAGGGATCAAGAATCTCATTTCCAATTGTTTAAACTCAATTAAATGAACATATTTCTTTCCATGTAGAGTATGCAATATATGAAGCATATTATTCAAATGTGTTATCAGTAATGCAACAAAAGAAATTATCATTTAAATAACAGATTTCATTGTGCGGAAGCTAAACATTATTCCTATCTGAAACTTTGGCTGTGATCAGGTATACCATGCCACAAACTGAATAACAAAGGATTAACATAATAACAAAGTTGGAAAGGATTTTGGAGGTCTTCTAGTTCAAGCCCCTGCTTAGACAGGAAACCCTATATCCATGATGGCGAACCTATGGTACACATGCTGGAAGTGACACACAGAGCAACTTCTGCCAGCAACTGAGAGGTCACCCGACGAGCCCCACTGAGCATGCGTGCGCGTTACCTGCCCCACAGCTGAATGTTGGGTATCTGGCACACACGCGTGGGGGCAGGGGTGCACGGGAGATGCGTGCGCATATGCAGAGATGCACGGCATACATAGGGGGTCATGCACACATGCACAGGGGGCATGGGGGCCCCCTCACGCATTGCCTTCTGGGTGCTGGCACACAATGTTTGGCAGGCAAGCTCAAAAAGGTTAGCCACCACTGCCCTATACCATGAGGTTTAGGATGGGGATGAGTAGAGGAGATGGCCAAGTTCAGAGCACTTGCTAATTCCTTGCAAAGAAAATTGAATCGATTGAAATGATTTGTAGCAATATTCAGAGATTATTTTTTCCCTTAAATGAGACCTGGATTGATCTGGTGTTATATGTAAATTTGGCAACTTCACTCACAAATCTGTATTAGGTTAGGCCAATGTTTTTCAACCTTGGTAACTTGAACATGTGTGAACTTCAACCCTCAAAATTCTCAATCAAGCCATGAAATCCACACATCTTTAAGTTGCCCAGGTTGAGAAAGTCTAGGTTAGACTAACAAATCAATGTCAGTGCAAATAGTGGAAACTGAACATACAGCTGATTGCTCTTTCCTTTAGAAATTGAACAGATCACTGAATGAGAAGATTCAATGCCATGAATGAGAAATGTCACAAGGGAGAGGAAGCACTGAAAGCTGTTACTATTGCTACCACTTCGTCACCATCTATAACTTTATAGAAAATGAAAGTGTCCAGGGTGGGCCTAGGCCACCTCTGACATTTGGGAACGCAGTAGAAGATTCACCCCAGCTCTAATTTGCCATAGTGCTTTAGTTCCTGTTTTCCCCTTACACTCTCCCACATTCTGCAGTCATACTAACTAAAAGTTTTTAGGTCACCACTGGTATAATTGCCTCATCATACAAATTGCTCCTCTTTTTCCTCTCTGTCTTCCAATCATTTCTCAGCTCTGTCATTGTAACTTTGAAATAATTTCTTCTGTCTGCCATCTCTCTACTGAAACGTAATCAAAATTACAGTACATGAAATAGGATTTCCTCCCTGGTAAGTTTACAGAGTTGTCATCATAGAACTTAACTTTTAGATCTTCTGGTGGCATATTACACATGCTTCCTACAGTCTTTGAAATGATTATCTTTAATTGATTACAAGATCAGAGGTCAGTGCAAATTGTTGACAGAGAGCAGCAGCTAGTCATATTTTCTGCTATGCGAGGAAATGGCACATCTTGATTGTGTACAGTACCAATAATCATAGCTTGATGGTTTTGGCTATAAACTAGATATAGTTGAATTTACATTGACCTTAATTTTTTTTAACAGATCTTCCTTCAGAGATACCACAAGAAATCACTTGAGCTGAAAAAACTAGAATGTGAGTTCAAATTCCTGATAGACAATTTATCAATTCAGTTTATAAAGTGGCAAATATTATTAGACTTTTTCTGCTCCACATTGACAACAAGCCTTGGCATTATTCCCATTTTTATGATCATATTGCAGTCATCTAACATTCACATTAATAGAAAAATGGAGGATCTCTGTTGAAATCAAAATCCATATCCTGGTACAAGCAATTAAATTTATATATAAACTTTTTTCACCTCTCTCTCCAAAACAACAATGTAACTAATTACTTCTGTAGGAATATGCAGATATTTCATGTTGGAAGTGATTCATCAGATCAAAGATGATGTTCCTTTTGGGATAAAACCATTAATGTCTCGGGAGCATCTATTTAAGAATCCAATGCAGACTTTAAAAACTAGATTGTACTTTTCAATGCATGGTTTAAAACTTGAGAGCTGTCATATTGAATTCTACATCAGGGGTGTCAAACTCAAGGACCATGGGTCAGATTCAGCCTGTGGTGTGGTTAGATCTGGCCCATGGGGCCATCCTGGTCTATCTGTGTTGCTTCGACCCAGTCTACCCAGTGTGAAGAGGAAAGACCAGGCCAATGTAGCTTCGGCGCAGTCCAGCCAACTAGGCCAGCATGGCTTTAGCCCAGTCTACCCAATACAAAGAAGAAACCTGTCAGGTTCATAGATACTGCCATTTTTCAGATGCTGAGTATTACAATGTCCTCAGTGGTCTTTGTTCCTAGTGTAGGTGTTGGTGTATGGTTCTGTATGTCTCTGTGTGTGTATCAAATAAAAAATGTTTCTTAAGAATGTTTCTTAAGAAAACATTTTTCTTCAGAAATCCTTCATGCTGCTTCTGAAGCTAAAAATTATAGTAGGTTTTCACAGTCTACTGGAATAATATCTCCTCAGACTGTGAAACATTAAACATCTAATATCCATGTACATCTGAATTAAACAAACATCCCATTATCCATAATAGGGAAAAAATGCAGGGTAGCTGCAACACTTCTGTTTTGGCACAAAATGTCATATTTATTCTTCCTCACAATTTAAGAGAGATTCTATTGATTAAAAAATGGTTGTCTATCGAAGTATCAGGAACAGAAATATCTCCCTGATGCCTAGTTGATTAGCTACAGTGAACTGTTCATTCCCCTTCCTTCATTCTCAGTTCATCCAGGAACACTCTTATTGGGTGATGATTCCTAGGCTGAACTTTGTGAAAGAAATGGAGAGAAAGCTGTGATTCTAAGGAATAAAAATCTGATCAACTTTGTCAACAAATCTCCACATAAAGCAAGCACTTATTTTAAAAGGAGGATTGTCCTACTAGCAAATTGTGACACTGCATCTTCTGGTTCAATTATATGCAAAAAAAATGGTGTAAAGGAAGAAACCTTCAGAAGTACTTTTCAAATGAGATGTTCTAGGTCAGAGGTCTGCAACCTTAAATACTCAAAAAAAAAAAAAAAAACATTTGGACCCATTTCCCACAGAAAAGAAAACCCCGGGAGCCAATAATTTAACAACCGGTGTGACTGGGTGGGGTAGCCAACTTGAGGTTACTCACTCCCATCCAGTCACCTCCTGCTCTGGAATATGGAATGAGTCTCCATCCCCCGCTATCACCCTTACTTTCTCAGGCCAGGCAAGGAGTGATGGGGAGGAAAGGGGCCAGCTAGTGGTGGGATCAGCCAACAGGGAGCCACAGCAGAGGGCTGAAAGAGCTGCATGTGGCTCCAAAGCCACAGGTTGCAGACCCCTGTTCTAGGTCATCCTTCTTCTCTGATGCTTCTATCCCTTGCTCTTTTAACTCTTTTGTATGGAAATGACAGGAAGGTCTAAAAACAGCAGTGCAAGAAGGACTGGGGAGGGATACCCAAGTTGACCAGTCTCCAGCGGCAACTCTGATTCAAAGGAGAGTTGCTTTTCTTTTAGCTTTATTCTTAAAGATAAAGGTAGGGAAATTATATTTCAAATATAGTTGGACCTGAATATTGAGGAATGCACATGGCCTCTTGAAATCCTGCCCCCCACTCCCTGAAGACTGAAACCATGCCATCAAACTTTGGAAGCAAAATGGCTAATGTTAGTGCGGTTTGGGAAGAAGGAAGGTGATAATAGGGCTGCTTTGTCTCCAAGAAGTACTTATACCTATTACTACCAGTGCCTCAAAGGGAAGAAAACAAGTTCCTTTGATACATATCAAGTTTATACAGCTTATATCACCTAACCACTCGAGCAATGGTATCTTGCCTAGCAGCCATTAGTATGGACTAAGAACTGAAATTATCTTTTGACACAGTTCTGGGTCCCAATGCTGCAATAAGTAATTAGGACTCTGATAAACAGACAATGGTTACTTTCTATATAACATAGTGTTTAACATTTCCAAAATATGAAGTCTTAGCCAAAATGAATGGATCTGAGCTGAAGATAATTGCATCCTTATTATCTAGGGTTGGGAAAAAGGAATATTGGATAATGTAAATAATAGATAATCTGCATGTCTCAAAATTAACAAAATGGCCAAGTAAAAGCCTACCAAGATAAGAAAGAGGGCTGAGTAACAAGGCAATGACATAAGAAAATGGGGAAGTATATTATTCCAAGATAGCTTTGCATACAATAGTATCTATATTGTTATAACAAATATGTTTTTCTTTCTGTAATGTACACCAGAAATGTTTAAACTTTGAATAGCAACTCTATTACACACTCAAAGGGACTGAAAAAGCTTTGATAGAAACCCTTTTCAATAATCACATTTACTTTGATTTAACAAGTGAGATACAATATTCATAGTTGGAGATTTAGAAATGTTTCTGAATACGTTTTGCTTGAGAAAATGAATTGTAGCCACATAAATGAAACTTCCTGGAAAGAATTAAATTGCCAATGATATGCTGCCATTGCACCTTGACAAAATAAAAATTAGCATGACTTCCCCTGAAAGTATCAGAATAATCTTAATATATACAAACATTCGGAAAAGATATGTGGGCACTCAAATATGAAGTGGTGAAAAATCCTATTTCCTTTAAAAGCCAGCTCTTTCCTGATTTTTTTTTTCTTGTTTGGATGGAGTAAAACTCCACAATTTTGAAAGAGCCATATACTTTCTATAACCCAAAGAAAGTTTTGAATTTGCTTGCATAAAGAAAGGGTGCCAGCTAGTGGGCAAAACATAAAATATCATCTAACCATACTACATTTGAAGGCCTTGCTATCTGTACAGAATACAAATTCTCAAATCACTGGCACATTTTTCATATCTTTTCAAAAGAGGACATGTCACGGAGTGCACTCTTTGCACTAGTATCCCTAGCTAATGCATTTGTTGCTGCTACACAGTTTTTTTGCCTGGAGATCCCTGTAACACTGAAAATATGGGATTACTATGAATGAGGTTTGAAACATAGAGAAGCAGAAATGTGTAATTAAGTGGAAATGCTAACCTAGGGCCCATTGCTACTAGTTACAACCTAACAAGAATGTAGTACAGAATGTAGTACATGCAGTCGAATATATCACACCGTCTGTTATTCCCAACAGAAAGATAATGTACTATTATCGCTGACTAAGCACACCGGCAAAAATGACTATTGGCAGACATGATGTGTTGGCTTAACATTGTATCCTTGTGCAACACAGAACTGACCAAGAAAAAGGATACTGTAGAGACATAAGAACTACTTGGCTTCTGAAGCTTTCCAGCACCATTGGCCGGCACAGTATCAGTCATGCCAGCATAACCTTCTCTCCATAATATTTGGTTATAACTTTCTATAGCCTGCCAAACCCAAATCAAAGATAGAGTTATAGCAGTTACTCATTTAATGTCAACTCTTTGACTGCTGTTCCAGTTACAGATGTTTCTAAAACTGGGTTGTAAAAGACCTGGAGGAAATTAGATCCCAAAATACATATATAATACTGAAGAAGGTATGGTTTTGGTCAGACTAAATGACATGTGTATGAAAAAACTTTAGTTCGGAGTCATTTTTATTTTTTTAATGGTTTGAAAATGTCCGTGTCTTGAAAAAAGAATTAAGTTTAAAAAAAAATCAACTTTTAAAGTCATCTGCCTGTTTCTGTACCTGCTGCATGTCCAGGTCTTTAATTTTTCTGCAGCCTATTTCTGCCTTGTATAATATTTGATTGAGAAGTAAAGATAAATACGATGATCTGAAATGAATAATTCATGCTAATATTTTATGCGTGGAGAGGAAAGGTTGCTGTGGAACTCCCGATGCTTTCAACCGAGGCTTTTTCTTTGCATCCAGCGTAAGCACCAATAAACGAACCGTCTTCATTGAACATCCTGTGGTCCCCCTCGCCATAATCCACTAAGCTATCAGCACTTTCTGCACTTTTAATATCCATGTTAAGAGACCGCAAGCTTCCTTTGAGCGGCTTTTCATCACTGTCACTGAAAGAGGGAAAAACACTTGTGAGGAGCAGAAGGGCACGTCGAATCATACAGAAAAAATAAGACAAGAGACACTAGAAAATTCTATTTAGGGACAGCATTTGATTCTAAGCCAATTACCACCTTGGAGTGAGGGGCTCGGAGGTTTTAGGACTTCTGATAGAAGTACCTCTAGAGTGAAACATTCCAAAACATTTGATTCTAAGCCAATTACCACTTGGGAGGCTCAGGAGGTTTTAGAGCTTCTGATAGCAATATTGACAGGAACAAAATCTCCTGGTGGGATCAGTAAGGCTACCAGTAGAGTTGGAAGTGGAAAAACCAAAGTAACATTATATTTATTAGCTGAGAATACACATAATTGAGGCTAATATGAAAGTGATGGGTCATGTTTTTCTCCCTGTTTCAAAGCAACGACACTGGAGTCACAGAAAGAATCTGACTGAAAAAAGATTTAGACCAGATAAAAGACTGCACAGTAGATGATTAAAGTGTAGATGGGTTACATCCAAATCTTAGATGGGTCTAAAAGGGGATTGAATAAATTCATGGAGGATACATATATAAACAGCTTGATATTACTTTTAGGTTGGGATGAAAATAGCAGTGAGAAAAAAAGGTTCTTTTATATCTTTCTTGTAGAAAATATACTTTTCCATTTATTTGTTTTACTTCTGAAATGAATTATATGGTGTAAATTACAGACTTAAAGGCAAAGAGCTGGTAATTCTTTTCCAAACATGAAGACATCCATTGCAAGCAAGTATAGTACACACTACTGGCAAAATTTGTAGCAAAATCTTGCATTTATGCTAATTTCATTTATTGGAAGAAGTTCTACAAACAGATTAGTAGGGATCAGGAGTGAGAGAGAAATTCATTCCGTTTGGATTTCAGGATACTCTTACAAATTCAATCTCAGATACAAATTAATTCACACTTTTTCTGGGTGAACTATGTTAGAGAAAGGATACACAAAATATGCACATTATTGTATAAAAAGACAGGTATGAAAATAGAAATAACTTGAAATATCTAATCTCCAAAAAGAAACTATTTTTTTTCCAAACCTTTTACCCTTTTCAGAGGATTTTTCTTTACAGATGGGAATGAGAACGAAAGTTTCTAGGAAGCAATCCCAAACTTTGAAAAATGGCTTCAACCTTGAACTTCAGACAAGTAATTTCAGACCACTTTATGGTTTATTAGCAGGGTTTTTTTGGGTGGAGGAAGGAAGCAGTTATTGGGTGGAGGAAGGAAGCAGTTTATGGTTTATTAGCAGGGTTTTTTTGGGTGGAGGAAGGAATGGGAAATATCTAGGAGTCGTGGTGGTGCAGTGGTTAGAATGCAGCAATATTGCAGGCTAATTCAGCTCACTGCCAGAAGTGTAATCCTTATCAACTCAAGGTTGACTCAACTTTTCATCCTTCCAAGGTTAGTGAAATGAGGACCCAGATTGCTGGGGGCAATATGCTGACCTTGTAAACCACTTATAGAGGCCTGTAAAGCACTATGAAGTGGTATATAAATATTATTGCTATCTCTATCTACGCCCAAACATCTCCCACATGCAAATATAATATTATTATTAAAACTGACTAAGGACCCAGAAAGATGTTTGAGAAATGTTGTTTTGTTTATAATGTATTTCCAGTCAAACAAAGATATTTCATTTGTTTCATATATAGAGTACATTGATTATATAGAGCTATATGAATTATTTCTGCATTTTCAGAAAAATAATATCAGCATATGTAATTACACTCCAGGTTAGATAAGCAATCTGACTATTTAATGAAATAACTGCACCAAATGGCCTAAGAATCTATTCTTATTTTACCAAAATATTTACAAAACTATCCACAAGAAACTAATAAAAATTGAATTCATTCCACTAAAGTATTCTATATAATATTTCATATTATCCCCTTGAAATTTCATTTGGCAATGGGAAAGTATTATTGCTTGCAATATTATTAGAATATCTTACAAAATCATTATTTATCCCAAACATTGCAATGAAGGATATGTCTCACTAACCTATATTCACCAAAGATTTCATCTTTTATGGACTGGCCTTCAGGATCCGGATGCAGGTCCTCTTTTTCTTTTACTGCACATACATAAAAAAGTCTATTATTCAGATATTTTTAGGCATTTACTTCCATTTAATAGGAAACAAAACACTCTACTTAAAACTAGTTATCTTATTGTATGACCATCTTTTAAAAGAGGTGCGGTGATTCAGTGGCTTAATGATGCTGGAGATGGTCTCAGCTCCAGCAGTTTGAGACCAGCACTGTTAGCAGAATGAGTTCCTGTCACTCACCTCAGCTTCTGTCCATCTAATAGTTTGAAAGCATGTTCTATGCAAATAGATAGGTAGCAATTTGGTGGGGAGATGAGCTGGTGCTCTGTGCAGGCAATCAGATTCCCGATGGCTCTGAACCTTCCTGATTGTACTGCCCATTTCAAGCAACTCCAGGAAGGGATGGGGTTTGGGGTGGCATTGTAGGAAGAGCCACTCATTTTTCTCTCTGATGCAAAGCCAGCTCACCCTCATGTGGTGTACTTTGGGAAGCATATAAGCATGTCCTATAACAGGCCTGGTACCTAGTCAAGTCAAACTACTATTCTGAAATATCACTGTTGTCTCCTGACTCTGTCACAACACATGATGATGATGGTGATGGTGATGATGATGATGACCATCATTTAAAGCTCTTGTACTAACAGAATAACAGAGTTGGAAGGGATGTAGCAGATCATCAAGTCTAACCGTCTACTTAAGCAGGAGACCTTATACCATTCCTGACAAGTAGCTTGAAAGCTTCCAGTGATGAAGCTCCCACAACTTCTGAAGGCAAGCTATTCCATTGGTTGATTGCTCTCACAGTCAGAAAATTTCTCCTTATTTCTAGGTTGAATCTCTCCTTGATTAGTTTCCATACATTTTTTCCTGTTTGGCCTTCAGGTGTCTTGTCTCCGTGACAGCCTCTCAAATATTGGTATGCTGTTATTATGTCACTCCTGGTCCTTCCCTTCACTAGACTAGTCATGTCCAGTTCCTGCAACTGTTCTTCATACGTTTGAACCTCCAGGCCCTCATCATCTTTGTTGCCAGTGTTGAATTATTCACAATAATACCATGTTGTTAATACCACTAACTGAATTGCAATTGATTAATTTAGTTTAGATGAAACTAAATCACTTGGCTGTGTAATCCTAGTTTCCTAAATTATGTAAGTTTTGGAAGCAAACTAACCAATGTGATTTGCTGGGTTTTTTTTTTATTACAACTGCCTTATCTGTGGCAAACATAGGCACAGTCCTGTATTGAAGGATGGCATTTTTAATTTTGGGCTAAAAGTGAAATTTTATGGTGAGTGCCTTAGCCTTCCAATGTTGTGTCAAGGTTTCTCTTTGCTTCCGATATTAACAGGCTACTTTTAAAGGTATTCTCACAATAACACAATGCATGTTTAAAGAAATGTATAATAAATATAACATCAGCATGTATGTACGAATCATGATTTTTAAAATAAAAATAACAGCAATTTAAATTTTTAACTTAATTCGATGTGAATTGAACTATCTCACTTGAACTATTTTATACCTGCTTAAAACTATTTTCAGCTCCTTCAACTTTTCCTTGCATGTTTTAATCAACAAATAAAGTTCAGTGATAGGCACAACAATTTTAAATAAAAACTGGAATCCTATAGAGAGCCAAAATTCAGGATGAAATACATTTTTTTAATCTTTCTATTGGAATGGCTTCATGTTCTTTGGATCTTCGGTTCTTGTTCTCTAACGTTGTCTCAATTGGTGAGCTTGGGTAAGGAATCATTATCTTGAGCCATGAGATAGTTGACACAACATTGAAAAAGACCAGATAAGATTGCTGTGACAGCTAGAAATCCACGCCATAATCAATCAAATACAATTACAACTGGGATCTATATAGCAACATCTTCCAGTCACACTTAAGCTAGGATAGTGACTCCAGCAGATCCTAGAAATAACTTCAGAGCTCTCTATCTGGAAGAGACAGACAGTGTTAGGAACAGCTGAGATATTGAGGAGAAATTGCAACCTTGCATGACCTGTGATTGAAGAAGGTACATACCACCTATAGGAAGTTTGCAAAAAAAAAAAAAAAAGGAAATAAAAAATAAAAAAGTCTAGGATGGAATAAGGTATTTTGCTTTAGTCAGGAGATTGGACTGGAAAATCTCCAAAGTCCCTTCCAGTTCTACAATTCTATAAATTAAATAAGTAAGTAGGTAGGTAGGTAGGTAAGTACATAAATAAATAAATCCTAAATTTAAGATGATAGAGAAATTGACAACTGACAAGTGATAGGATCTTTATTTTTCAAAAATATAAGGTAAGCTATGTAGTGTATGTTTTTGTTCATTTGGGTAATGCTACTCTCAAAGATGCCATGGTGAAGACATCACTTTACTGGCTATTAATTAGCTGACATTATTAAATAGAAACGTCTTAGTTGTGAATGTGTTTCTGGACACTTTTCCATTTCTCTCAAGTACGGCTGTATTTTAGAAAGGATCCTGTTTTCTTTCAGCCAATTCTAACTTAAAACAGAATTGGTAGTCTTGTCATTTTCATGCTACCTTACTGCATTTTCCCCAGGCAAAGAAGCTTTTTTTTATCTTCATAAGGGATAGCAAGAGGTAATTTCTGGAAGCTCCCAAAGGCCTGTAATCAGCTCTTGATCACATGGGGAGCATCATTTGCTGCTGTGGATCATGGGGTTTATGTAACTTTTCGACCTCCAAGAAGACTTAAAACTCTAATTTGGTGATAACCCAGGAAAGGCTTGTACATCATTATAAAAGTATATTCAATTTGGAGAACACATTTGTCCTTACCTGAATATTTTCCTCCTTTGTTCCTTTTAACAAAGCAGATAGTAAGCAACAATAAGGTAAGCAAAGCGATGGCACCCATCAGTCCAATAAACCAACCTTGTGTAGAGATTCTTTCATAAATTCCAGTGTAAGCTTTGAATGGGAAAAAATATATATATATGAAGGTATAAGAAAAAAATAAAAATGTTATTTTAAAGAATGTTTTAGAACAGATTATCAGGGTCTAGCAGTATGCATTGGGGGAGGGTAATGAATATCTATATTAAAATCAAGTCTGCAAGACACATTATTATTGGCTTGAAATCATTGCAGATTTTAATTAAGCAAACAAAAATACAGTTCTTAAACCAGATTGTCATGCAAAAGTTAGAGAGGGTTAAAAAGTGTATAGAATAGAGACAAATGCATAGCATACTGCATATAAAATGCAAGAAGAAAGGGCCTGGCAAAGTAATTAATATCTAAGTAGTACAAACTGGCATTTTCATTTTTTCCTTGGAAGCTGAATTTTAAATTTATATTATAGATTATAGAGCAAAAATGGATCAGGATCAGGCTCACCTATAGTAAACTCAAATTGTGCAGGAGATTATGCAATAAAGGCAATTTCTTAACAGGAACTATCAACACAGAGGAAGTGGGGAATTTTGAAGAGCAATGTGCCAGTGTCCTAATGGGACATCAGCAGCATAATCCCAGAAATAGAAGAAATGTGTCTAGGATAAAACACTAGCCAAGCACAAAGGAAAAAGGGTAGATTTGTGAGCTGCATCTTCCACTGATATGGGATAATTACTTAAAGCCAAAGGCTTTCAAGCTGTCTCTTTGGAGAAAAATGAAGACCCATTCAGAAATTTGACATATTGTCTGATATCTACCTTTCACACCAGAATTGTATTGGGAGAAATATTTTCCCTGTTTTTATTATTTTAATCTCCCATAAAATTTTAATTTTGGTCAACAGCACTTGCAAAAACTGAGGGGCACAATCTATTCCTGGTATGCAAACATTATTTGCACAATGGTTTTCTGTTTTCAACAGTAAAATGCTGGAACAACTTTATGCCAATTTATCTAAGAGTTATCACACCTGGATTGCAAAAATCTAGGTAAGAATTCAGCTTGCAGAAAACTACACAGAAAAGTAACTCTTTGCTGCTAAATTTTGCAGTCCAACCAAGCCTAGTAGTCCTAATTACTCTTTATTTTTTCTACATATATAGATTTGGAATTATTAATGGAAACTTGTTACTAAAGTTAAATAAAAAAAACTTGGAATGGGACTGATTAAATTCATACTAATATTTATTGCAAAGATAATTTGCAATTGTCAGTTTAACATTCAAAATATTAAGAGAACTCTACATTTCCTGTACCAGATTTGGCCCCAGCAGTATTTCTGAAAATTGTGGTGTTGGAGGATTATGAACTGGGAAACTACTTTTTTATGTTGAAATCAACAGTAAAAATCCAATTATAATAGGTGCAGTAAGTTCTGGATATATAACTCTTTCATGTTACAAGTATGCAGTATATAATTTTAATATGCAGTTGCTAAAGTCTTGTTTTTGTGAGAATCGCAGTCATCTTAGAGGCCTTAAGAATTTCTCACCTCTCCCCCTGGTCTCTATTACATCTGCAGAAATGCTATTATTATCAACCCAATTCTTAGTCATTAGTCGAATTGTATTTGCAGTTCCAGGATCAAGTGGCTCAACAGGCTGACTCTTTGGGGTGGGCTTAACTTCAGTAATCTTCCCAACAGCTTTACCTATGGAATGCACAGAGTCAAGTCAAAATAGGTGAATTGGGTGAGGGCCTCAGAATATAAAATTACAGAATCAGTACCAGTTAATATTAATAGGTTGAGCATTTATCCTTAGAGAATTGTGCAATTATAACAAAGGACCGTATATGACACATTAATATTCATGTAGTGTATATTCTAAATGTTATTTATTTTAATAGCTCCTATTATGATTTATTGATCATAATTAAATATCCAAATAGATTATGTTTATATAAATAAATAGAATAATTAATGTTGTACAGAATTTCAATAAAGCAGTTACATCTAAACCTATATGCTAGTCAATCAATACTAGAATATGCATTTTTTCCCTTAAAAACTCAACTACCAAAATTGTTCCAACTTTGTTGGGAAAAAAATATATCAAATGATTGATATAAAATTACCACCAGAATCAAATCTATAATTGAATACTATAAAATATTTTACATGAAAGAAGTCCAATTAACATAATTATATGATAGTGCTTTATTGAAATATCAATTGATATAATTAATTATATTAATTACATTATTAAAATAGAAATTAAAAAGTTATAAGGCTTGGTTCATCTTGGTTAACTGAACTACAATTCTCTATTAAAACAAGTATCCAAATAATGAGTCAGAAATCCCCCTTATAAAATTATCATCACTTGAACAAAAGCAAGTGATTTTTGGGGTTATTAAGACCAAAATAATATTTTATAGGAGAGTACATAACTGAGGGATCCTTAGTGCTCTCTGAGCTTGCTTGTTTTCTTGCAGACGTTTCATTACCCAAATCAGGTAACATCATTGATGTTATCTTAGTTTGGGTAATGAAACATCTGCAAGAAAACAAGCAAGCTCAGAGAACACCAAGGACCCCTCATGTCAACCTTAGAGTACATAATTGAAGTTTCAGGACTACATTTCAGCCTAAGGCATGACTTCAAAAAGTTACCATCAAATTGTCTTATTAATGTGGAGGAAAAGAAAAATGCATGATATTTTTTTTATTTAATTTAATACAAATTAGATTCTAATGCAATGTAAATTAAATCAAATTCTCTCTCTCAATCTTGCCTACATTTTTGCCTTGGTTATATCTCCTGTTGTCTGGTCCCGATACACCATTCAAAGGTGGAGCACAGTCATCAATCTAAGAAGCATTCAAAATCTTGGATTTATGTCATAGTACATTTGTTAATTTTTAAAGTATCATAAGGCTCTTTCTGGTTTGTGTTCTGACAGAGTAGTGGTTACCTCACTAAATAATTATTTTATTTCTGTTTCATGAATCAAATGAAAAGTGAGGATTTAATTTTATTCTTTTGATGATTTTAATCTATTTTATACTATATTTGGACACTATAATTATTTCAGAGGAAACAAAAAAAAAAGATGAATATTTAAATCCTAGATAGGAAACTTGCATATTATTTAACTCTTTAATCTTCTCTTAAATAAGATTTCAAAAACATTTTAAGTAATTTTTAAAGGAATAATTTATTTTGCTTTATTTGCTCAGTCTATTATTACAACTTGAAGTACAAGGTATCTATTAGAACAGATAGTTATTAGTTCATAGATATAATGGAGCTTGCTAACTCTTAGATAATTTGTATGTGCGATACAGAATCAATGATTATTAGTTCTGGAATAAGCAAGCAAGCAAGCAAATAGCAGCTTCAAGAGATTAACACTCAGAAGATAACCGAAAGAGAAAAAGAGAAAAGATTAAAAATGGTTGTATATAGACAAAAACAGCAGAATATGACAATTATTTATCACTTACAGCCTGTGCTTTAATTATAATCGTGCCATAGAGAATTAAAGAGAATACCGTATGTTGATTGGTGTGTTCAACATTTGATGAGATGGGTTTAACATAATTAAAACTATCTGGCAGAATTGATATTGCTAAATTAATTCCATTTTCTAATCAAACTACAAATTAAACAGCAGGTCATTGCAAGTTATTTTTTCCCTAAATGCACAAAGTAGTACACTTAACATAAATGTTTTCTGAAAGGTAACAAGGGGAAAATATATTATGTCAATTTCTGTCATTTCAAATAATCCAAACTATTTAAAGCTGTCAGATATACAGGATTACAAATTGAAAGGAACAGGAGGCTCCCTCCAATTCTGAAATCACTTTGTCAGGCGTATTTCAGCTGCTGAAATACCTGGAAATTAATCATGTTCCATCAATTGCTTAAGACATCAAGTTTCCACAGACATTTCTAATAATAATATTTCTGTGATAACATTCCTTACAGATGTTCAAAGCATTTTGACCTTGAAACATTTCGACTCTTTTCTGTAATTCAAGGTAGTTTCATAGTCAAGGCAAAACGGAATGTTTTGTTTCAATCTTAGAATCAATGCTACAGATTTAGAAGATTGTCTATTTCAAATTTTTCTTACTGGTCCAAGCACTAAGATTGAGCAATGGTTGTCTTTTTATGTTTGAGTTACTTTTAATCTTTTGAGACATTTTGTAGCTTAGCCATTATAGCAGAGACTCTCCTGATGTTGATGGGTTGATGTGGAGATGAAGGAAACTGGGAAGAGCAGGTAGTCCTCAATGATGATAGCAATGGGGCCGAATTGTTGCTGCTATGTGGATGAGGGGGTGCCCAGTAGGCCCTGGGGGTGCATGAGGATACAAGGGATAGTCAGAGAGGGAGCAGACTGTTGGAAGAACAGTCATGTGAGGAATGTTCATGAAGATGCAGTGTAGATTAGGGAGGTGCAGAGAAGTGTGAGGAGTCACAGTGATAGTCGGGATATGAGTGGCTAGTGTGGCATGAGCACAGAAGGACATACCCTATGACTTGTGACTTTCCTTGCCAGCTTCCCAATTGATTTTCTGGGAAGCCAGGAGGGAAGGTTGCAAATGGAGGTCATATAGCCGCAAATCACTGCAACTGGTTGTTAAATGTGAACTGGTTACCAAACATTCAGATCATGATCACATGATCATGGAGTGCTAGGATGTCTAGATCTCCAAGAGCATTTGTATAGAGCTGTTGTAGTTTGCTGAATGAATGAATATAGGTCAAGGGCCACCTGTAGAAGATATCTCACATCTGCATATCTGTCGGTTATTGCTGTTTCTTCTTTTTTAAAAGGCAAATCTAAAAACTGTTTATCTAGTGTATGAAAATCTAAAGACTACTGGTGTGATGTTATTTTCCGCACACTCTATCTATCTATCTATCTATCTATCTATCTATCTATCTATCTATCTATCT